ATTGAAGCGGTGTTTTTTAAAACCCACCACTTCAATTTAGGGCCCCCATTTCATCTACACATGCCCTGGGGCACTGCATAAACAAGGGATGCTGTTGTGACTAGTATTATGAGTCATTGCACAAGCTGGAGTTGAGTCATCTGTCTCCTGTTGAGCTTGTAAACTGCTCTGATCTCAGCAGTTTGACTTGATTCTTGTTCTTTCTTCCTGCTCATGTACTCCTAGTATCCATTTTGGGTGTTTGACTTCTGTCTTGCTTCTGCTTCAATGCTGACCATTCCTGACTCTGGCTTCTGACACTAAGCTGTTTCCCAAGTTCTGATCCTTTAAGGCTCTACAGCTTATCTACCTCGGTTTGACCTGCAGCTTCCTGATTATGGCACCTTGACCTTAGTTTGCTCCCACCCCCATTTTGGCTTCCTGACCATGACCACCTCCTAACCATTACACTGTCATCCAGTCAGGCCCAAGCGTCATTTCTTTGGGCCCAGTACAAACTTGTAAGGCAGGCTCCCTCCCACACACACACCATCCCCCATACATAAAATCTCATGAACCATGAAAGAACATTTTCTATTTTAATCTGAAATGACATTCTACATTTCTGACTATTCTTTATCATTTTGGTTGTTGGTCCTTATGATGATATTGTCCAGTCGATGTTTTGATTTTTTTGTTCTAATGGACCAACATAGCTGCAAACATTTTATAAATACACCAATTCACTTTAAAGCTTTATTTTTCTGGCCTTTTTCACTGCAAAAACATGAATTATTTCCCCAAAGTCAATTTCTCTTGCAAGTTCACACCTAATAGACAAAATAGCAAGGTGGCTTAACCGTTCTTGTCATATAGTAGAACACCTGCAGTTTTTGATGAGTGCTAGCTTGCTGAAACTTCTTTCAGCTTCTGCTATGGTCACTAGCAGTGTGCAAAAGATCTGTATGGCTATGCATACTTCACTGAAAAGCAGTTGCAGTTGTTTTTTAATAAGGTAAGTTGGGGGTAGTTCATACTCTTTTTCAAAAGTAGATTGAAGGGTTTTTTTTTAGATGCAGCATTTCACAAGGAAATTCTCAGGAAGATCTGTAGGATACTTGTTAAGTAGACATTTAGAAGCTTCACCAAGTTCCTCAGGCTCTAGTATCACATATTTTAGGACTGAATGAAATGTAAAACAAATGTTATTGGTTGCTTTGAATCTGTACTCCAATCCATAGATAATGTTGTCCAAAGATGCATCAAAAACATTCCTTCTGAATAAAGATTCTGGACAATTTTCAGAGATGGTAGAACATGATTCCTTAGCTGTGTCATCATGAAATCTTTTCCGCTTCTTGCCTCTCTTCTATGGTAATTGTGGCAAAATTCCCATGCCTTCTGCTACAAGATGTGCTTCCTGTAGAATTCTGGGCTACTGATCTCTAAGTTGTTTTACTTTCTCAATAATATCAGCAAGGAGAGCTGCCTCTGATTCAAGAAAGATTCCCCTGGCTTGTAAAATCTTGTTTCTGTCATCAATACTTGAAAGAACCTTGTACCAGAAGCTAGCCAACAAAAGGCATGAAAATGAGCTGAAGTACCTTTTCAGTGCTTACAGCTGTGATCGAGCTTCATGTGTTAAATTTAATTCAAGAGCACATTCCATTGTTTCCAGAATACCTGGAAGATGCTTTTGTGAGTGGATGGATAGCATCTGCACATGCATTCCAGCTTTGTTTTTGTCTCCTTTCAGAAAGTAACCGACATGGAAAACAATACAGTGCTTGATTGGTAGGACTCCAAACAAATCAGTCTCTTGGTAACTGTTCTCCATTGGAAGTCTTACACTTGAGAAGAAATTCAGGAAACTTATGCCTGCCAACATTTTTTGGAATTGACTTTGCTAGCTTCCACATTTCTTCAAAAGTCAGGAAACCAGATAGAACATTTTTTGACGGACAGAATCTGTTATCAGTTTAGGCCACAAGCCTGGGTCTTTGAAAAAGCATGAATCAGATAGTGTAGTACTACTTTGTCATGTTTTTTGTAAGCCTTCTTCTGAATGTAGTGGTGCTAATGGTGATATTACCTATCTTTTGAAAGCATTAGATTGGAGTTACATGATGCATCTGGCAGCTTTTCTTCATCATCAGTTGCCACAGACACAGTCTCTATATTAAAATCATTTTCATCTTGCTTTTGTTCATCTACTTCCTTAGTTAGTGTATTGCCTGAGCCAGACTGCAGAAAGGCCTTGTCTGTTTTGAAAAACTGGAGGATTGATTGGTGTCCTTTAGCTTCTTTTAGTTCCTTTTGTTTTACCTCCTTACATTTCTGGCTGCCTGACTTATATTTATAGCCAGACATGGGGTGTGTGTGTGTGTGTGTGTGTGTGTGTGTGAGAGAGAGAAAGAAATGTCCTTTCCTCCCAGGCTCTAACCCTATCCCTGTTTCAGTTCTTCTTTGTGCAATGTTTAGACCACCAGGCCTAACTCATTACTCACTTTTGGGCCTGTAAATCCTACCAGCAACACTATGGCTTCCACTCTCCCTGGGATCTATGCCCCTGGTTATATGGTACTTTGTCCCTCCCCTCTCCACCTATATGCACAGAGGACTTGTAGTTCTTGAGAGAGCATGTCACATAGGGAAGCATTAATCCCTCTGTCTCTCAAACTACAAGTCCTAGCATTAACTGCACAAGGGCACTCTCCCTGTTCTACAGATGGGCCCTGGGCTGGCCAGCAACTCACTGTTCACAATGTTGCTTGTTCTTCTTCTGATTGGCTCCAGCAAATCTGAAGTAGAGACCCCATATAGGTAATACATAACTTTCCATACATATACTCAAGCGTGACCTATAATTTAGCCTTTGTTTTTTTCCTCATAGGGTTGCAGCCTAGGCTGGGGCCTCTGGATCTCCAGGCCCTTGTAAAGTGCACCCTTTTCCTGCCCCCATGCTTGGGCCCTGCATCCAGTATCTGTCTGTGACCCTTGCTCTGGATTCAGGTTCTGGATCTCAGGCCTAACCATGAGCTTCGCTGCAAAAAGAAACCAAGCCTCAGCTCTAGCTGCTTCTTGAAGTTGATTTACTGTACTAAGTATGAGTCAAGTGTTTCTGGGATATTTATTTTGGTGTCAATGATCATTTTATTATCTTTAACCTAAGAAAACCTTTAATTCAGCCTTGGTGAGGCCGCAGCTGGAGTACTGCATCCAATGCTGGGCCCCACAATTCAGGAAGGATGTGGAGAAGCTTGAGAGAGTCCAGAGGAGAGCCATGCGCATGATCAGAGTGCAAGAGTATAGGCCTTATGAAGAAAGGCTGAGAGCCATGGGATTCTTCAGCCTGAAAAAGCGCAGGGGGGACCTGATGGCAGCCTATAAGTACATAAGAGATGTGCATCAGTATCTGGGGGAACACCTGTTCACCAGAGCACTCCAGGGGATGACAAGGTCCAACAGTCACAAACTCCTCCAAGACTGTTTTAGGCTGGACATAAGGAAAAACTTATTTGCTGCCTGAGCCCCCAAGGCTTGGAATAGACTCCATCCAGAGGTGGTGCAAGCGCCTCCTCTCGACTCTTTTAAGAAACGTTTGGACGCTTATCTTGCTGGGATCCTTTGACCCTAGCTGACTTCCTGCCCTTGGGGCAGGGGGCTGAACTCGATGATCTTCCGAAGTCCCTTCCAGCCCTAATGTCTATGAAATATAATGTCTATGAAATCTATGAAAAAATAACAAATAATAGCGATAAAAAACTTCAATGAGTTACCACAGTAAACTTATATGATGAAGTTCTTGCAGAGAGCTAATCCTCTGAGAACAGACCGTTTCTAGAGATACTTTTCAAACCATAACATGGAAAGAAACAAAAGCCATGCTACATTAAATTATGAACCTTTTTTTGCATGTACAATAGACTTTGGAATGCTCTTTATTTGAACTCTGTAGTTCACTTAATCGTATTTTTATTAGTTTTTCTTGTCTCTCATCTCTCTTGTCTGTAAGGAATGATATAAGCATTATCTAGTGGCCAAAATAATAGTGGTAAATTCCCATGGATGTTAATCAAATACTGTGTAGGCCATATTGCATAATATCTATAGGAGTTACACTTTTAATAAAAAAGGAGCTGTATATACAATTAAATTTTAAACAATGCTTTTTTTAAGAAGCAAAACTAACGTAATGACTCATCATTAGTATTAAGAATGCAGACTATCCAGCCCACCCATTTGCTTTTCAGTGTAATTAATAATAAACCAAAATCTGTCCTTCTCTGTATCTGTTCCTCCCTGCAGACACAGATCTTCCCTGTAACTTGTCCTCTCACTTCTATCCATTCCCTGTTTCAGTTTCCTTTTTGTTGTCACAATCTATTCTGCTTCCAAAACTCTCCTTTCCTAATTTTTAATCCTTAAAATACAATGCAAAAAGGATATATCAGCCAGTGAGGGAGACTGTGCCCTAAAAGCTATGAAATGCCAGGTGGAAATTGTCACAGATTTATGGAGTTTAGAAAGAGACTGAAAGAGTTTTCAGTAGGCAGAGTTCCAACTATATTGTCTCAAGAAGAAAGAAAGACAGCACACAATGGATAAGATTGAAAAAGGCTTTATTAGCTCATCTGGGAATTATCTGGTAGTAACCTGTACTCTGCAGAACATCCTGCTATAATCTCTTCTGCTTAATAGAAGGTTGGTTGTCTTTTGGTTGAGGCAAGTGATTTCAAATGGGGTTCTACATGGTCTGGAATCGTTTAACATTTTAATTATTGGTCAGATACAGGAACAGAGAACTTGATCAAATTTGCAGATGAGAATGCTGGGGGAAAAGGTTAACTGGGTGGGGCAATAGCACTTCTGAGAGGGACCTCAAACTCAATGCGAGTCAACAATGTGATGCAATCATGAAAAAGGCAAATGCAAATATTCACAGAAATACTGAATGTGAGACATGATAGGTGACAATACCACTTTACCTGGTGCTGATGAGGCCTCAGCTGCGGTACTGACTGCATTTCTGTTCCCTGCATTTTCAGAAGCAGGTGGGTAGATTGGAAAGTATTCAGAGGTGAGTGACAAAGAAAAGGAATAAGGGGGTTGAAATAAGCTGCATAAGGAAAGACTGACAGAATTAGATAAGGTTAGTTTGGGGGGGGAAGGAAATAATGTGGTGGAGGATGATAGATAAAAAAATTTTAAAAATTGAAAAAGTACCATAAAGAAGAGGAAGAACAATTATTTTCTCCCTTGCCACATAGGGCAGAAAATGAAGCAGTGTGGTTAAACTGCACCATTTAGACATAACTTCCCATAATAGGGACTACAGAATCTCCTTCGTGGAAGATTTTTCAGGAAAAGTCAGGATAGGTATTTGAGATGGTTTAGAGATGGTTTTGAGATGGTTGAGATGCACATCCAAAGTCAGGATAGGTATTTGAGATGGTTTAGGAATAGCACATCCTGCATCTTGTGAAGAAATTGTGCTGGATTGCACTAGTTGTGATTCTGTGATTTAACCCCTTTGTATTTCACACCTGGTTTCAGCATACTGCTGGGACCCCATCACCCTTCCATCATATGGGACTTAATGATCGGGAGAAAGAAATGTTTCAGACATCAGGAACATTTCTCTGTTCCTCAGTTTTCTCATACTGCCTGCACGCTCCCTTCCAATTGAACCGGACCTCCACACCACATGGAGTGAGTATCTGCATTGCACTCGTGCTGACCAGGAGGTGATAGCAATTAGCTTGGCTATATTGCCTGAATCCCTGTCAGATTCCCAGGTTGTTAATAATTTGTTCTTTAATAGCAGCCAGAATTGCATCTGCCCAACTATGGTATAACTCAAGATGGATATGCAGTTTCAGACTAAGCAATTATCAATTTTCCCTACTTAATTCAGCCAGGTCAACCAGGTGCTGACCATCCTGAAGTACTTGCCAGATTGGGATCACTTAACACACAGTAGCTTTTAGGACATGTTTTAATTTTTAAAATTTTATAGATACTGACAGTGAAACTATGGGAAGCTGGTAACCTTGACAGCTGGAGCCAAGGCTACTTATAAGGCTCAAAAAATAAAATACATGCATGCTGGATATGTACTAATCACAAGACTGCTCTGTATCATTTTCTGCTTTTCTATAACAGAGCTTTTTCCACAGAGGATAGTGGCTTCAAAGTGAAAGGAATGCATGTACAAGGTAATATTTTTAAAGCAGTGCATTAAGTTGTCCTCCAAATATACATCACCACTTTGTTTGTAGGAGAATGGGGGGTAGGGGGAGGATATTATTTGCATCTTCAAATTGGGGTATTGTATGCAGAAGCACTGCATGCACATGGATACTTTGGGTACAAGAGACAGGGAGTTTCCCATGTTAGATGACAAAAATAAATGTCAATAACCTCTCCATTTATGCTACATTTTGCACCATGTCAGAGGGTCATTTGTAGAGTGAGAGGGGCAATCAGTGACTTCCATCTCTTTTAGAAGGTGCTCTAGTTTTGGCCAAAAAAAATCTAAATTGTTCTTAACCAGGGGAAAGTTTATTAGTCCAGATACAATAAAACACACCTGAATTTTCATCTAAAATTGCTTGAAAGCTTTTATGAAGTTATACAAGTATTATTTAACATTTCTAATTTTGTTCTTCATTTTCACTTACCTCTACACTGTGTTGTGTTCTGGGCAGCATGAAAGTACTTCAGGAGAGCACTATAAGCACTATTATTTCTGTCATGACTGGAGGCAACCTGTTTACTAATAAAGTAGCCTATTTTCTCAAAACTTCTAGCTAAATTATGTATTGTAAAGTAGTGAAATATTGTAAAATCGTGAAATTATTTTTTTAAGAAAAGTAAAAATGAACATACATAAATCATTTTAGATCTGTGCAAACAGATATAACACAGTGTTTGCAAGAGGTTGAATATTGGATTAACCACCCTTAACAATATTTTATATATCAACCAGCTTTTATAATTCCAAAACAATTTTCAAAGATAACATATAGCTTCTGGATTTACTATTGATGCTACATTTTATGAATAAGCTTTTAAACCTGCCTTTTGATTTTTTCCTGTACTGTATATTAACACATTTTTTCAAAAATAGAGCCAGAAAAGTTATATCAAGTAGCAATAAAGAAAATATTTCAGACTTCCATTCATGCCAACTCTTCCTATGTATTTGATTTTCACTCTTTCTTGTGTGTTTTTATTAGATTCTTGCATTGTCGGTGAGAAGAGAGAAGTCTAAATGAATGCCAAAAACATGTTGATAAAACAGTTTGTGTTTCTAGGCTTTTGTTATTGCTCAGACATGTTTGGTTCATATATAACTAGAGCATTCACTGCTTGGAAGGATTCCCAGTTGTCTTTAAGACTGTTTGTTCTGTTTTTCTGAAATGAGTATAGTGAAGCTTCATCTTTATTACTATAGAACCAATGTGCTGTGTAAGTGTTTTCCCATTAGCTTCTGACCTTTCCATAGCATGGCATTCTTTTGCCATAATCATTCATTTAATTCTTGGTACAATATTGCAGAAGTCCATCAAGTGTATTAATTCTTCTGTGGTAGCTTTAGACAACATTGGTCACAGTATCTTGATGTGATGCCTGTCCTTCTTAATCAGCATACAACTTTTGTCCTCCTTCTTCATTCAGAGCTCATCACTTGTGAATGCCTCACAGCATTTGAATTTTCACAGCCATTACAAGCATAGAGTATAAGCCTTTGCATGAAGGACTGGGATGCTTAGATGAATTGCTCATCAGCTTGTGTTAGCTACTTGCAAGTTTGCAGAAAGTAGTTCCAAGTTTTAGAAGTAAGCTGTATCATTATTGGTATGTGCATACTTTACCTGAATATTATTACTCTTTATACATTTCTATATAAGAGACTCTCAGCTACTGGAATTGGGTTAGTGCACAGGTTTTTGAAAGAGGGTATATGAAGACATTCCACTTAGGTTGACCTAACTGGGGTTAGGTTGATCTAAGTGACAATCTGTACAGATGTTCTGGAGGTTAGGTTAGAATCAAAGCATGGTGCATGGTTCCCTGCTTAATACATACACATCAATTTTTTGGGCCTGTTTTTGAGGAAGAAGGTATGGGTTGTATGTGAGATAATATGGTATATTCCCAGCTATTTCTCTTCCGTAGAAAACACTGACTGTAGATAATATTCATAACTCTCTGTTTCATAAAAAAGAGGCAGGGGATGCAGGGTGGGTGGGAGAGGATTTAGTATCATAGAGCTATAAGTATATGAAGATGCTTACCAGATAATCTTAAAACCTCCAGTGTTTTGCACTGTTATATTTGCATTTGTTTGCTGTTAGGTTCAAAGCCAAATGGATGACTTTCTGAGTTTAGATACATGGCCTGGCTGGTTACACGTATTTTTAATGCCGTATTTTTTCTTCTCCATGTGCAGACTTCTAATTTAAGGAAAAGTCTACAAAAGAAGGAAAAAGAAAGCAAGGCTTAAGGAAGAGAAAGTGTTAATACTTTGCAAAGACAATGAACTTGAGATTGGTGTATACACTACTATTGAAAGAAGAAAAAGTCATCTCTTTGCTTTACGAACCTCACCTCCATATAACTCATAGATGTGATAACATATTTTTATCCTTTTACTCTTTTATACAAAGTTTTTATATTTGGAATAATATTAATACATTTGAAGACAACTAAGCAGATAATTTGGGAGTACTGGCATAGGGACCAGTTGGCATAGCTATGCTGTAACTTTACTGAAATATGTGCTTATTTCTCATATAATCATACAAGCCAATAAAATGTACCTGTATATTTCACACTCATAAGCTAGCCCTACTAAAATTTTATTGCTTCTCATACCCTAACACTAAATCTTAAAGTAACTGTATAATAACACAGTTTATTACTGAGACCCCCCTCTTTATCTAGTCTCTATCATTTCTTAACTTGATTTTTCTGTGACACAGAAGATAAAGCTCTATTATAAAAAAATAAAAAGTACCGGATAACAGGTTTATTTTTATATAAACTGTCCACTTTACTTGCTGTGTGAAACGTACTTGTGATACTTCTGTTCAATGTCATGTTGCTTATTGATATGGAGACATTTGATCTTTCACTTTGTGTATAATGTGTCTGTTGTTTTTAATTGACAATGGTAGGTGCTATAGGGCTTGTGCCCTTTCCAAGACAACGTATTTTCTTCTGCTACAGTGGGTAAGGGATCCTATCTCATCCTTAACCCCTCCTGGTTGATACAAAACTCATGTGCCATGACTTTGATGGTAAGTATACTTGTTCTTATTTATTACAGGGATGTGTACACACTTTCCCTGACAGGAGGATGTTCACCATGACACCGGGCAGAAGAAGATTTTTACTGATGTGAAAAATAACTGAAAAATAAATAGGGCTCTACCATCCCCTGCACCCCAACCTTATGCCCCCTGACACCCAGATTTCCTTTCAGGGTGTTACAGAAAAGAAAACAGTCCTCATCAAAATAAGCAAACAAAATAAAGTCCTTCTTATACTGCTACTCATGGCTCTTCTTATACTTAAAAAAATGTTGCTTTTTTAATTCAAGTTTCAGTTGTCGACACTGGACTGCCACTCTCCTTGGCTAGTCTCCAGTGTGTCCCTTACCTGACCAGGGAGCCTCCTCTTGGGTTTTAGCCTTAGCTGTTGCCCACACGTTGGTCTCCACTTCATACCCCTGCTCCTAGGGACTCTTTGACAGCCTGCTTCCCAGCTGTCCTTCCCTCTCCTCCACATTGTTTTTTTCCCTCCCAGAGTATGTCCACTCCCCTCTCTCTCCACCCAGCTTGCTTTTCTTTTTTTCTTTTGCCTTGCCCCCTGGGCATTCCTTGCATTGCTGCTTTTACTGGCATCTCTCTCTCCAGCTTGGGGATGCTGGTGCCTCTCTCCGGCTTGGGGCTTCTTCCCGTATCTCTCTCTGGCTCAGGGCTGCTTCATGCTGAGCTCTGTTGGCTCATCTGGAGACAGCAGTTGTTCCAGATCCGTCCCCTTCTCCCTGCTGTCTCTCAGCGTTTCAAGGCAAGTCTGGGGGAGACTGGTCTTCCTGCAGGGAAAACAGTCTCCTGCTGTGGCTCTCTTTCACGTTACTCTTATGCTTCCCTTCTAAAATCATCAGTATAACTTGAAATTGAAGCCAAAATGTCATATGATTCTAGAAAAGGACTTTCAAAGAAAGAGACATGAAATCTGCCCCTTCTGTTAATATTTGAGAAGGATCAGTGTGTGCTCCAAGAGGAGGCTGAGCACACTTGTAACAGACATGATTGGCTAGATCCATGGTACTCCAAATATGGCCCTTAGGCTGGAGGCCCATGGAGCTGAGTCATTTGGCCCATGGGGTACCTGGTACTTTATAAGAAAACTGTAGCAAGCTGAGCTGGCTAAGGGAGGCCTGGCAGCACAGGTGGTGGGAGAAAATATTATTTGGGGGGGCTGGAGGAGCATGTGGCAGTGGTGCTGGAGCAGTGGAGCTGTGAGGAGCTCAGCACACGTGTGGTGCTGGCCTGGCTGCATACCAAGTGGCACTGGGTGCAATGGCGCCACTGCTGTTGCTGGCTGGTGCTAAATTAGTTTTGGTGGGGGCTATGCCCCATTAGCTCTGGCCTTCCTCCACCTATGGCTGGCAGCTAGAAAACAGGCTAATTGCCAGTTAACAGACAGACTTGTAGCCAGCTGCCAGGAGTAAGATGCACAGAGGCAGACATCTAGGCTGCTCAGGGACAAAGATCTGGAAACAGCTCAATTAAACAACAGCAAGGGAAGGCAGGATACTCATTAGTCCCAGAATGGTAATCCTTGTTGGTGGCTGTAGAGTCACCTGACCAGAAGGGGTGGGTGGGGCTTAGGAGGCACATAAAACCAGTGCCTGAAACCGGGTAGCTGGTCAGGCCCTGCAACCACTAGGGGAAAGATCTCTTGAACAAGAGGGCTACAGGAGATGGAATGACTGGCTGATACCTGAGCTACCCTGAGGACTGCAAGTGAGGAGTTGATAGTTGGCAGGGAAGCATTACCTGGCATGAAGAGGATTTGTTATACAGCGTGTATACCAGAGTGTAGAGTTGTAGCCAGTGGGCTTGTAATTTGGTTTAAAGTTTAAATGAGTGGCCTGGGAGTGTCTAGAAGGGATGAGGATGAGGTCATAGCAACATGCTAGGGGCACATTGGAGTTTTGAACCTTGCCAGGGGCTGGGGCTCGAGACCCAGAATGTGCTTAAGCCAGAAAGGGTTGAAGCCTAGAGAAGGGCTGAAGCCCTGCCTTGGGGGAAGCCAGACAAGGTCAGGGGCCCAGTACCCAAGAGGAATGAAACCAGGGCCAGGGCCCCAGTGCCCAAGAGGAGCAAAACCAAGGCCAACAACCCAGAGCCTGAGAAGGGTGAGACAAGAGATGGAGCCCCAGAAGCCGGGTCCAACACAGTGGGCTTAGGCTAAGGGGACCAGCTAGAGGAAGTGGGTGGAAGCCAGGAATGCTGAGGCTCCAACAAGGATGTGAAGGCCTAAGAAGTGATTAACTGATCACTCCTTAGGCCACTAGAGTGATTAACTGATATTGATATAATCAGTGAGGCATGGGCATCACTATAGGGGTGGAGGGAAGCCACAAATAGCTCTTAAGGAAACAGATGTCCTGGGGACGCAGACAGGCCAGGAGGGCCCAATTAATGCTTGAGAGGCAGGATTTGGATCAGCTGGGTTTGGGAGGGACCTACTGACTGGCTATAGACAAGAGCTTGCTCAGGGACCCTGAGGCAGCCTCTCTTGTTCCAATCAAATAATACCAGCAAGGTGTGGCAGGTGAGAGAGCAAGAGGGAGGTTACCCTAGAGTCAGAGCAGGCCAGGAGTTGCATGGCCTCCAGGGGGCATCATGGCCATGCCTGGGGGAACAATCCTGTTACAGATCCCTGTGGGTTGGGGAATTTGGAGCCCTCTGGCAATTAAAACTGCCACCACTCCCCATCACTAAATTTTTGGAACTATGGGGAGCTCCATGGGCCAGATGACTCTGTTCTGTGTTTCCAGTTGGGTTGACTTCCAGGGTTAGACCTAGTGTGGATGACCCTGGACCCGGCATGTGGAGTCAGTTTGTAATCCCAGACCTGGTGCCTGGCTGATCCACTGTCAGACTCAGTGCATGGCCGTAGACTTGGTGCCTGGTATGGGCAAGGGTTGATTCACAGTCTGGATCTGACCTGTAAGGTGGGCTCTTGCATCAGATCTGGCTCACAAATCTGACCCAGGAAGCTTGAGCTCTGCTGTCTTAAAATGTTGTGGTAGCTATTTTGGGGGGTGTGTCGGGGCCTCTCTCTGCTGCTGGCCCCTTCTCTCCCATCCACCCCTGCCCCTGTCATTCAAGCTGTGCAGAAAATAATTCAAGATTCATTAAACCATTATACAGTCTCTGAATAAAATATGGGAAGGGAGAGACTGGAACCCAGACTTCTCCTTCACAGAGGGTGGTAGAAGAACTAGGTGATGGAGTCATCCCCTTATGCCTTTGTTCTTGGCCAATTAAGTTTGAATAGCGGCATGACTTCAGCAGGGGTTAAAAACACCTCTAGTCCCAGATTAGTTTAAAGCCTGGTAGTTAGGGCACTCTCATTAGAAAAGTGGGACAAGCTGCCTCAGATGGAAGAGAGAATTGAAGCTGGATCCCTCACTTTCTGGGCATGCGGTTTAACCACTGTGGAATCAGAAAAAATATGCGCCTTAAACTTTGACTATTTTAGTTATAAGATGACATAACCGCTTTGTGGAGAATTGCTGGCTCTGTATAGTAGAACAGATAAGAGAAAGTGTTTGTTCTTTGTAACTCCTCTGCAACTGCTTCGCTCACCGCGGCCTTGAAGATAGCAAAAAGTATGTACAACTCTGATTTGCAGGTGCAAGAAGGAGGTTTGTGAACTAACCTCGCCTCCCCCATTAGTTCCCATCCTGATTACAGCAAAGAAATAATGAAGTAATGTTATAGCCGCTTTTCATGCTAATTTCACTATATGATCACGTGAGTTGTAAGCAACTGTTAAAAAGTATATAAGCCTCCTGATTTTGCTCTTGGGGGGGGACCCCTTCCAAGTGCTTGGGAGATCCATGTCACTTTGGAGTCCCCCCTACAGCTGTAGTTTCTTTTGAATAAAAGCTTCTGCTGACCTGACCCAAAAGTATGCTGCGTGTGTTTCCACGACACCACTATGTTCTTACATTCAAAGTAGATGGCAGCACCCTTACTGGCCCTATTTTAACAGAATAAACTTTGCTCAC